AGTCAACGTGCAATTTTGCTTTTAAACTTATTGTTATGAGCAAAAATATACGAGAAAATTATATACGTTCTCTCGCAAAGGGACAATAAGTACAATTTTTGTGCTTATTATCTCGTTTAATCGGTTCTCCATTAACGCAACACGCAACTTCGTGCAAATACATCGAAGATTGCATTTCGTAAATCAATAAGATACAATGTCAGTGTAATAATGTCGACAGCTGCGTACGTTTGCGTGATTTTTCAATGATCTTGCGTGTACTGATACTCCCGTAAAGATATCGATTTTCTCGACGATGTGGGGTCCGCGAAAGAGAGAGAGAGAGAGAGAGAGAGAGAGAGAAAGAGAAAGAGAAAGAGAGAGAGAGAGAATCGTATAATACGTATCGCCAGCTGCAATTACCGGCCAAATTGTTACAGACGAACTCGAAGAGTAGCTTGTTATTAGTCACGCGACTAAGAAAACGCGCGTACGGTAATACGACGGTCTTACATACATATGCGAGCTTCGCTTTCGTGCGAGAATCATGCAAATAACGCGAGCGGGATGCAGCGGGAGGGGATAGTCAAGGCGTTATCGCACGCAAGAGGAAACGTCATCTCGACGAGTCAATTAATTCTTTATCGATCCGCGAAGTGACGCGGAAGATTTGTTTTTTTTTTCTTCTCTTTCCTTTCCGACGCAGAAAAGTCGGCATTCATGAACCTCGAGGTGCACCACGTGTGTGCACATGCATGCGTCATGCGAACCGCGCTGAGGAAGAGAAGAGACTCGCGCGCGAGTCTCGTCAACGAATCACCGCGCCGGTGCGGATCCCTGTATTTAAAAGACCTTTACTTTTTTGCGTACACATGTACGGTGTGTATACGTGTCGCTGCGTGTCCCTCAAGAAAAAGGAGGTTCCCACGACAAAATAAATCTCCCCGCTCACGCCATCGCTCCCCGCGGCTCGTCACCCTTCGCGACCGGGAGTGTATCCACTAAAGATTTCCAATTGTGTTTACGGCCCCGTTCCGCGTACTCTCCCTCCCTCTCTTTCTCTCTCTCTCTCTCTCGCTCTCGAAGTGACTCCCCCACACTCTCTCGCCCCCCTCGACTTCCCTTCGCGCGCGCACAGACACGGCCGCGACGCACGTACGTTGTTGCAGCACATATACGCACATATGTATACGCACGTATATTTGCGTGGCGCGACCGTGAATATGGGCAACGTTCGGTCAAATGACATGCGTGTGTGCGTGCGGATAATAAACGCGCGTGTGCGCGATGAAAAGCGCGCGACGGTCTGGCCTGCGGCTTGCGGCCGCTACGACGAACAGGGGGCGGAAGGAGACAGAGGGTGGAAGGGGGGGGGCGCGGATGTCAAACCGATCCTACGCCTCCATCGGGGCGACCACGGTTCTCGAGAATTGCACGAACAACGACGCCGACCGAGTAGGTCCCGAGGTGACGACAACGAGGTGTCGGAATCAGCCGGACGGATGGACCAGTTCTCGCGTTCGCATCGCGATCACGTATACGCGCGTATTAGCGATCGTTTGTCCGGTACCGGACGCGCGATCGCCGACCGCCAACTCCGTCGCGATTGTCGGTCACTCGCTCGACATGAATTAATTTCTCTCTTCCTCCTTCTTTCTCTCTCTCTCTCTATTGAGCGTAAAAAAACACCGCAAACACGCGACAATGCAAAACGCGCCGGAACCGGCGATCTTGAAATCCGCTCGGCCGCGAGGCGGCCTCATTACGCAACTTCACGGCGGGATTTGAAAATTTTATACGAATCCATTTACGCAACGCGAAACGTATATGAAGTGCATGAAAAGCACGTATGTACCTGTATACGCGTTTTATGGCACGGAATTAATTTCCTACGCGTAAACAGTCAATTGTAGCTGGAGTACCGAACGCGGAGAGTAGCCTCTCTCGTGGGTTTTTGAAATTCTGCACGCGAATCGCGATGACAAATCGCGACGCGCTTGGAAACGACGCATCTGATACATCGGAATATTTTGCCAATAAACCTCGGCGCTTATTTACATTATCTAGCGACGTTTTCCCCGGCGCGGGCGCCGTTATCCGTCACACGTTTATTTTGTTGTCGTCTTACGGTCCGCATTTAAATGTATATCTTTACGTAATTCTCCGCGGAATAATCCCAAACAGCTACGAAACTCTGATTAATTTCTGCAGTCAAACTTTTTTTTTTTTTAATAAAAAAACGTACAAAATGGAGGTAGAAAACATATGTGCTTAAATACCATTTCAAACTTCGTTTATTTTTTTTATCGTTTTACGAACCGCATTTAAATGTATATCATTGCCCAATTTTTATTTCACGTAATATTTTCGAATTAATGTCAGACTGACAAAATATGAAAGAGGAGCCACGAATTCTTCGACTAATTCAGATCTTTTTATGCGCAAAATAAGGCGAAAACAGGTATGTCTAAATAAACTTCGTCGTTTATTTTGTTTATCGTCTTACGAATCGCATTTAAATCATTACGTAATTCCGTGAAATATTTTCGGCATAATTCTCAGAACGACTACGGATTCTTTGACTAATTTACAGTCGAGTCGGATTTTTTTAAAAACACGAATAAACAGGGGGAGGGGGCGAAGCGAACGACGTGTCGCTTAAATACATTTTCAAACTTTGTTTTTCCAGGAAATTTCAATATCTCTGATTCCATTATCCCGTCTCGGAGCGAAACATGATGCAACATCGCGGCATTCGTATCCCGTCGATTTCTATTCATGATCGATCACGCCGGCGAGGAAGACATACATCTCGCGACGAGATGCGCGCAGGAAAACGCATCGGTGCAATAGTCGACGTCGCTCTCGCTCTCGTCTCGCTCGCTCGCTCGGCGGAGTATTGGAATTTCGAAAAGCCGTGCCGCACGTACGTACGTACACACGTATCTGCATGTATACGTGTACGCGCGCGTGCGCTTGCCTGTGTGTGTATGTGTGTACGCTCAGGTAGACAGCCCTGATTTAGAGCATCCCCCGGTTGGCGGGCGTTTAACCGAATCGAGGATTCATCTCTCCTCAAAGCAGCGCGGCGGCGGCGGCGGACGCGATGCATGAACGGTGTGTAATATGATGAGCGCCACACGTACCTACGTATACGTGTGTACACGTAAGCGCGAGCTTTATACACAACTATATACCGCGCGCGTACGCACACATATATAGGCACTCCGCCCGCACCGCTCTTCCCTTCCCCCCCCTCCCCGTCCCAACACCCACACGCTCGCGGCGGTTACACCCACGCCCGAGCTCTCTACTTACGTTGCCGGTTGACTCGTGTTGTCCGGCGCTCTCCGCCACTTTGACTCGCGCCGTCTCTGTCGCAGCTCATACACGCGCGCGTACACACACACATACGTAATCCATACACCCACATTCGTCCGACATTCGGCATTCCCGCTACACACCGCCGGTCTGCGGGATTGCAAGGGCGCAAGGCAGAGAGACGGAGGGAGAGAGAGAGAGAGAGAGAGAACAGGGCGAGAAAGAGAGAAAAAGAGGGGGACACGACACGAGGGACGGACCGGAGAGAGCGAAAGATTAAGAAAACGCGTCGGCGCGACGGAGATCAACGGCAACGGAGTGGCAGGCAACGGCGGGTACATCTGTGGCAAAGGAGTGCGACCGACGAGGAAGGAGGAGGATGTCGTGTATCCGTGCGAGCGAGCGAGCGAGTGGCAACGCGAAAACGCGCAGGGGTGTCGCTAAAGAGTTTTCGAAACTTGCGCTCGCACGCGCCCGCCGCGCGCACGGCGAATATATTAATGCGTCTCGCCGAGTCGCCTCCCCCGTTGATCGCCCTCCTCCCCCCCCCCCTCCACCCGCTCGTTGATTGAAGATCATCTCGCTGGCAAGCGCGGGTCTCGAGAAGCGAGCGAGCGAATGCGCGCGCGGGTTCCTCGTGACGAACAATTATCACGCCAGATTCGAGAGATGTCATATATATATGCGTTATAACGCGGCGCTTTCGATTTAAATTGAGCGGAAGTAACAGTTTATTACTATATACACGTTGGTACTGCATTTTTACATCCGACCGACCCTTCACGGCGTTTACCCAAAGTATTCGAAGTTTACACTTCCAATGACCGTTGAAATTTAAAATCGTATCGGGGCTAAAAAACTAACAATTGCTGCAGCCTCCCCCCCCCCGCCCCCGCGAGTGTCGGTCGGAACACAAAAGAATACATTCCGTCGCGCGGCAGGTCGGGGAGATTTTGACGGACGCCGCGTGTGTTCGATATTCCCGAAAAAAAAAGTCGGTGATCGAAACCTTTAACGAATCGACCGCGAGCGCGCGTGAAAAACCGCGCGAGATACAAAATACGCGCGGAAAAGAGAGGAAGATCCGCTCTCCGACGAGGACCGCCGCCGCTGCCCGCGCGCGAGTGGTAGATTGAATCTTTTTAACGGCCTTTTCGGGAAGAGAGGGCGCGGGGGGAAGGGGTGAGCGCGAAACGGAAAGAGAGATACAGATTCTCTCTTACTTCGTAACCCACAAACTCTCCGGGAGGAGAAACGGCGGAGAGTAGAGCGGTCTCTCTCGCCCCCGTCGGTCGACGCCCTTGACTCGCGCGGGACGGTTGGAAGGGTGAGGAAGGAGCGGGACGGGGGAGGGGGGGAGACTGTGAGGAGAACGCTGTGGTGGGGACGGGACAGCTTGCGGTGGGAGCGAGACGGCAGCGGAGAGCCGGAGCTGCCACTGCTGTTCTCTCGCGCGGCTGTTGTGTGTGTGTGTATGTGTGTGTATTCCGTTGCGCTCGCTCTCATTGATGCGTCAGTGTGGGCCCGCCGCGGCGGTTGGTGTTGGTGGTCGTCGCTCATCGGTGTGTCGTGGCGCGCGACGCGGCGCGGTGGCGGGCGGCGACGGCGGCGGCGGCGGTGGCGGCGGCGTCGGCGGTGGCGGCGGCAAGCGGCGTTCACACGTTCCCGTCATCCACTTCGGTACTACCCGGTTCGCAGTCGAGCGTCGTACGTTGCGCGGTTCGGTCGCGACGTTCGCCCGCCTCCGGTGTTCGACTCCGGTCGCGGCCTGCCATACATACAGATATATATGTATATATATATATGTATGTACACACACACGTTTGACGTTTGAACCTGTGTTTGACTTCGTGCACGCGTCTTCCTACGAAAGTGTCAGTGCGAGACGGAGCGCGAGCGAGCGGGTGGGAGAAAGAGGAGAGAGAAGAGAGAGAGAGAGAGAGAGAAGAGAGAACGAGAACGAGAGAGAGAGAGAGAGAGAGTAGAGGAAAAAGAGAGATGCGGGAGGCGAGTGTGCGGCAGGAAACGCGAGTGCTTTTTCGCCGCAGTGCCAAGACGGATTAAGGACGGAGGAGGAGGCGCGACCGTCGGGAAATCGGGATCTCGGGAGAGATCTCCGACGATCGTTCCGCGCGCAGTTCGATCCCGCCGAGAATCGCCGACCTTCGATGGATTCTACGAGGTACGTGTCACGCGGTGTGTGTGTGTGTGTTAACCGCCGGACTCCTTTGAATCTCAATCTTTTCGTGGCTTTACCGGAGCAGCGCGGCGGCGACGACGCGAGAAGATCTCGGCGCGGTTAGAAACGGCCGTGTGCCACGAGTTCGCGTACAGTTCGTTGCGAGCGATACTTATATTGTTATAGCGGCGCGCGGAGTCACGTGCCCTCGTTAGTTATGCGGACCAGCTTCGATGCGTGACGCGCCGCCTCGCGCAGCGCGAAGTATCGACGAAGCGTGGATAATAGACGACGATTATTACTTTCGCGGGAGTGCGGGTGAGAGAGAGAGAGAGAGAGAGAGAGAGACGTCTTTCTTTTCCTCTGCCTATTGCTCCGTGCCGATTGCGCGACGCGTCGCGTTAAGGCCACAAGTCTCGTTAATCTCCCGCTCACCTCCGAGCCCGCCGCCGCTGCCGACCACGCCGCCGCTGGTGGTTCGGTGGGGGGGGAGGGGGAGAGGGGGGGGCTAATAATTACGGCGCACACCGATCGTCTTTCGCGAAACGAGGGAAGGATCGGCGCGGGCGAGTCATCCGCAAAAACTAATCCCTTTCTCCCCACCGATCAAGGCTTAATTCCCTCCGCTCCGCTTCTTGATCGATAAGGCGCGCGCGTTTCTCTTCCGAGAAAACGTTGCGCCGCCGAGCCGAACTCGGGCTCGTTAATCGAGTTTCAAACAACAGACCCGGCCGGAGTCCGCTGCTCCGAATCTTTACTCCTCGTTTTACCAAACCCTCCATCGGTGGTGTCTCATCGCGACGTGCTTAATGGATTATTGGGAAAGATATACGGAAGCGATTAACACGTTTGCAAGCGCGCGGGAAAGTAGCGTCACAACAATGTAAGTCTATAAACGTAGAATCTGAATGACCGCAGGCGTGTGAAATTTTCCTTTCCGTCTCGTTACATCGCCTTTGTACGTGTTTAATAGATTTGTTGGAGAGATAATCTGGTCTCTCCGTATTACGATATCGCATTTATCGTAACATAATCCTAATTAGTGCCTTGGATCATCCATGGAACGGGCAAACTTCGACGACGTAGTCTTCGGTTAGTTCGGAATCGATTTACCCCTAAACGGAGAATCGATACCATCAACTTTCATAATTTCTCAATTTTTTAATCGATAATAAATGTTTCTCAACTTTTTAATTCAATAATAAATATAATTGATTCCTAACGCTAAAATTTACATTTAATTCAGTCGCTTTGGTATTATTTCAAATCCGATTCCGAAGTCGATTTCATATATTATAACTATAAGAATTAAGAATCTGTTAAATTATTGATTTTTTAAATTTATTTTGATACTATTGTATTATTTTTTCGATATTGGTTCCATTACCTATAATCACTAAGCATATTTCCATTTCTATTGTAAGATAAGTCTCTATAAATAAGTCTCGCAAAGTTTTGACGCAATTTTATTTATTGATCGAAGTAATCGCGTTTTACGCCCGACGGGCAACAAGTTCCCTTAAATCTTGCGACGATACGACTTCCGGGTTTGGAATATTATCAAGCCGACTAAATTAATTGTACCGGCGCCTTTTACTTGCGTTATTGCTATAAGAGTCGACGATGAGGATAATCGAGAAGCGGCGAGGTGCAGGAGAGAGGGATGGTGAGAGAGGGGTTGCGGGAGGGGGTGTGGAGGGGGGCGGGTTAACGATGTTAGAGGTAATCGTCGTACACGCCTCGTAAAATCGTCGGAGACGATCGACAAGCCGCTCCACGCTCCGTCTCCGTTTCCCTTTGTCGTGTACGGATTCGCGGAACCTTTACGCGCACGTATATCCCGTAAATTGTGGCCCTCCCCGCCCCCCTCCCGACCCCCCTTTGGTTGCAGGCTCCTCTCGTCCGAGATAGCCCGACGTTGAGGTGAATTTCGGAAAGTCGCCAGAAAGTAACTCGAGAGCTAGCGGAAGTTCGGATTTCTCCCCCCCCTGCAGAAGTTATATATACGTTTCGGACGTTTGTGCCCGCGTTTCTAAAACTGATCGATAATAATTCCGATTCCGACGAATTGTCGTTAGGCTGCCGTTCGAACGAAATTTCGTCATCGTAAATTTACCGTTAACGCAAAACAGAATTTTATGTCTGTCGATCCGGCGCGGCGGCGGCGGTGTGGGCAGAATTTTCTTACTTAATAATCCGTTGTTCAAACAAAATTTTTACACACGCACGCACGTACGCGCGCACGTTCCTTTAAACTATACTGCCGCGGGCAACTTAAGTTGTTGCTCTCGCCGTATAATTATCGTGCTTCGCGAGATAAGGCTCTTTACGACGCGTGCATTTTACGAAGTCCGCATCGTCGTGACGCCGCTAATAAAGGCACGATCGTTCGTGTGTCGTAAGTATGCGGAATATTAGGACACCGTCGTAACTCCGTCGCTCGGAGCTGCAGTTCGCCTTTATCGCGCCCCGGCACAATGGCAATTCTTATACTTTCGTACCGGTCGCCGATGTATATGAAAAATAATCTAACGACCCGTAGAATTGAGCGTTGAGTATATCCCAAACATCATTTGTTGCATGATTTATATGTATTTTCACGTTAATCGAAATACCGCGCAATTGCGATAACATATAAGAAAACAAATCGGTATTTCACGCGTTATTAACGTTTTTATTGGTGGCTATTTAATTATAATTAAAGAAAAATACATATATGTATATTTTTTCGACATTGATTTCATTATCTATACGCTCGTTGAACGTATTCCACAATTTTTATCTAAAATATATGCTCGAGTCGAGCCGAATTTCTGCAATTTCCGTAGACAAAAGATCGTAGGATCTGTAGAGAAGTAGAATTTATATCTTTGTCGCGGAACGCGAGACTATCTCGCACCCGACTATTTGGCTTATACAGCTCGTAACGAAATTGTGGGACTCGTAAACGGCGCGCGCGCGGGTATCACTCACGGGTACTCAATAATTAAAGCGCGGCACCAGCGTGTCCGGTGTGGAGAATCCTTTAATCCGCGCGGGCCATTGTGCGCCGCCGCTCGGCCATGTCGCGATAACGATCGGGAAGGTAAAGAAATCACGGACGATCGCGCGCGGCGGTGGTTAAGGATCGGAGCCGAGGGCCCGATTACGTGAGATTCGTGATAACTTTCTCCGTGACTCGTCCGTACGTCGCGATCCCGGCTTCTCTTTCCTCCGGAAACAATGCACTGGGCAAGCTTTATAGAGAGAAGAGCGCGATCTCTCCACCTTTATAGACCTCTCAAACGCCTCGGGAATAATCACGCGTGTTAGTTACGCGCTATACGCGATTTGACGCGAGATCGCGACTCGATTGCACCCGGTTTTATCCCGTCGAAATCTAAATTCTCATTTTACCCAAATTATCGCGGTTTAAAGAACCGTCGGTTCCCCTCTCCCCCCCCTCGATCGTTGCCGCTTCTCACGCGCCGCATCTCTATTACTCTCCGCGAGACAATGGGAAACGTGGCGAAACTTTTCTCAGCGTTTGCGTAAATGCAGGGAGGGTGGAAAGGGCGGATTTAATTTCGCGCGGCGGCGACGGCAACGGGCGGCGGCGGCGGCGGCGGCGGCTGCAGCGTTTGCCGGCGGGACGCGCGACGCGTCGCGACGTCATACGCCGGGGAGTATCAAGCCGAAAAGTTTTTATCGTCCCCGCCGAACGCATTTGCCGGCAAATTGATGGAAATGATGGCTCAAATTCGGGGCCTGGACGACTTTTTCCACGCTCGCGCACGCATTATACACGCGCGTATACATAAATATATTTATCCACACGCACGGGGGCCGGTATGCGTGTATTGCACGCGAAATACATTATCCGCGGAGAATGGACTGTTAACGCGGTTATATGACTCCATTTTGCGCGTTACACGAAACATCATCCCGCGTTACAAAGAGCCCGTAATGACGCGTCATGTATATGCGATCGTGCGGCGCGGTAAAAGCGTGAAAATAATAGGCAACGTTGTCCGCCCGGCCACGCGTACACGTTGGTTTTCGGCCGTTGGACCGTTCCGGGCGGTCCCCTCTCTCTCCGCCGGAGCGTACAAATCGCAAAAATGTTTCCCGTAATCCGCGCGCCGCGACCCGCCCTGCGGCGCGATGCGGCTAAAATAAACACAACGCGCTGAAATCGCGCACGGCAATCTGCGAGAGAGTTTGGTCGCGCGCGCGCGCGCGCGCGCGCGGGAAGGGTGGCGCGTACACCGCGAATTATACCGTCCGTCCTCGCCCTCGCCTCTCCCCCTCTCCATGTGTTGTTGAATGGCCAATTCTCTACTTGGAAATTAAGCTATGGCCTAAACTAACCCAGCGTATAGCGTCGTCAGCTGGGGTGCACCGACGACTCGCTGTGCATCCACCGAGTGTTTGCGCGCGCCCGGTTCAGCGCTTCCTATACCGGCTCCCTCGCGCCGCGTCGACGTCGCCTGGGTTCCTGCACGACGTGCGGCAACGAAATGCCCGTTGTCGAGATACACAACATCGATCGATTTATATTGACTTATTTAAATGCGCGCGGTAAACGCAGTTACGGAGGAATGTCGTGCGGTTACCGGTCGTCAGTTTGTCAAAAAAAAAAAAAAAAAATTGCTCGAGCCGCAAGTTGATGAAACGTTAAAGTAATCGACCGTCCGCGAAAACGAAATTTGGAAATTTATCCTTCGAACGTGAGAGATACTCCGTTTGCTCTCTCTTTCTCACGCGAAAGCCCTCAATTTTCGAGCCGCGTTAATCGCTCGACAAAGTGTCTATGCGTTATTGCACCTACGTCGAAACTACGCGGCGAAATGCCGCGACGAGCGCGGAGGAATAACGAGCTCTGCAATTTTGGATCGTCGCTCGTTCTAATTCGCTGTTTACCGACTCGCGAGAAGCGCGCGCGTGCGGCCGCCTGATCGCGAGTCTCGTTTTTCGCGGATGCTTCGCAGCGGAATTTGCCCGCTGCGCGCGTCGCGCGATGTTTGCAATAATGGTCGCGCGTAATGCACCGTGCGGCCGTCGCCGCCGTGGGTCCATTGAAAATTGCATCGTAATCAATGCGTCGTAGATCCTGGAACGTGACGTTGCGCTCAGCCGGCGGCTTTGCACCCGATATACATATATATATATATATATATATATATATATATATACATATACGCGCGCGCGCAGGCTTTCTTTTCGCTTTCCGTCCTTCTCGCGCGCCTTACGCGCCCGCCCGCGCGTCGGGCTGCATCTCAGCTGCTTTTTTTTTTCTGTCTCGCTCTTTGTCCCCGGTTCGAAACACGCCTCGGAGATTAGGATAAATGCTCCTAGGAGCAGCGGCAGTTTACGCGCCTAGTAAATCGAACGATAAATTGATCGCTCCGTCGCGTCGTCGTAAAGCTCCTGCACTCACACGCGCGCGCGCGCGCTCGCGTGTTCCGCCACGCCGACGAAATGAAAACGCATGGTACCTGCGAGATACCACCCGCGCGGTTAATAGCGTGAATACTTTTAGCGCCGCTTCTCGAGAGAGGGAAAAATTTAAATAGCGCCGACGAGCAAATATTTTTCTACTCGAACAAACATTTCTCGAGAATAGGAGAAACGCGATAAGGAACTATTAAATTATACAGGGCGAAACGCGCGCCGTATATATACGGAAGCGTGGAAATAAAAATCAATTTTTCTTCAACAGGAACGGAGGCACTCCACGACGTGTGAAGCTTTAACGACGCTTGGGGGAAAAAAAAATTACGAAGAAAAGTGTTCGTCGAACTTAAACGAGATTCGCGAAGTTTTCCGTTGCCATTTCGCGGGCGTCTATTAATAAATGAGAGAAGTGTTGTCTCGGTCCCGCGATAAAGTAACCGCGATGAATCGCGCTGTGCCGATGTGAACAGTGTTCACGGGGAGAGAAGATCGATCTTGAGAAAACTGTCGTCAAATGGAGCCTCTACCGAATCGCGCGGACGCGTTCGAGCCCACGAAATGGTGAAATGATCGTGTACATAGTGTATCGTGGACGCTGCAGCGATTTCTAAGAAGCAACTGCCGACGACTAAGATGTACCCCGCGCCGGCGAGACATCCCGCCGCTCCCGTAAGTAATCTTCATTTTTTTTTTACTTTAAAGAAGTAGAGATTAACAGTGAGAGGAGTGCGTGGCGTTCGTGAAATGCGGAAAATTAGAGACGAGTAAAAATTTAAATGTAAAAATTTAATTGATGAAAAAGTGCAAAACGCGCGGACGGGCGCGCTGAAATCTTATTGTCACTTAATTTAAAGCGAATGCCAATTCAACCAACTTTCAATTTGACGTGCCGGCCAAGTTGGTAAATTGACGGGAAACAGTTTCCATCCCGTGCGTTGGGTATTTTCCCAGAGCGCGCCATCACGAGAGTATTCCTTCGCTTATACGCCCGGTATTCTCAACATTTTTGCTTAGCGTTATCCATTATAGCGAACGTCAAAGGGTAATATAGTGTAATTACCGCTCCGCGCGCGAGGGAAGCGAAAGAGCACGTGGGAGTCAAGTCGACCGCTCTCGCACTTCGCGTTGCTAATTCGAAGAATGTTTGATTGTTCCCCGCGCCACGTCCCCACACAACCTCCGCTCGTGCCACTCTTTTTACCGTCATAATTTCACGCGTCGCACAAGCTCAAAGTCCCTCACGATGAAACGAGACCACCGGCGAATTTGCTGACACACGAACGTTGAGAGAAAGAGAGAGAGAAAAAAGAAGGGGGAAGGGAAAGAGAGGGGGAGGGAGAGAAACAGAGAAAGAGACAGAGGCGACCATTAGAAATTATGAGGATTATTTATAGAGCCCGCAAGTCAACGTACAACAATTGCCGTTCATAGAACCGGCCAATGGGCGATATGTGGGCACCACTCGTTTGCTTATTGACGCTGATGTGGCGCCGCTCCGCTCAAGGGGCACAAAGTGGCTCGATCGTTTCTTCGACGAGTATACTCGAAGCGCACCGACGGACATACGAAGCGGCGGCGCGCGGCGGCGGCGGCGATAACGGTGCCGTAATACTCCTCTTAATATCGCGCGAAACGGCCCGATAATTATTGCGGTGACTAATAATACAACGACGTAATTGGCCTAAGGAGAATCAGAAAAGTTAAGCGTCGGTTGCGAGCGGAGCGATAACAATTTCCGCGTGTATTCCGCCGCGAGATCGAAGGAGTGACGTGACACTTTTTTTTAACGTCGCACGAAACGGCTAATAATTATCGCGATAGAGCTGAAACGACATAATTGACCCGAGAAGAATCGCAAAAATTTATAAATGTCGTTTTTGTGTTTCGATAAGTTCTTTACCGGATATTCCCGAGACGCCGTGTCGGATCGTCTATAAAACGCCCGCGAGAGACAACTGACAATTATTGCGATTTACCATTAAACGTAATTGATCCAAGGGAACGAAGTCGGGCATCGTAACGACGCGTCGTTATTTAACAGGAAACTGTTCGTGACGCGTTGCATGCTGTTAAAAAAAAAATTCAAGCTAGTCTTGCATATACGACGAGTATAATGTCTTTTGCTTCCGTCTCTGGCGCGATTCGAACGGCGTCGTCTTTCCGCGAGGGTATCATTAGCGTGTCAGGGTATCTTTTGGTCGAAAGGAGTGGAAATTAATCTTTACAACACCGTGATATAGATTTCGCGATAATAACGTTGCGAAGAAAGCAGATAACATTGCACAGTCGCCGTTAATAGCGGACGCATAATTCGAGTGTAATCGTTGCGGCACGCGATCGCCTTTTATACGCGCGCGGTTCTCATCGAGAGCGGTTACTTACATTCCTCTCTTTAATTGGAAGATGTGGCCGACAGGCTCGGAAGAAGATTCTTATTGATGGCCCTACAAGAGTATCGTTTCGTTGAAAAAAAAAATGTGCACGTATCATAATTGTGAAGAGTTGAAATGCCACTTAAAACATTCGTAAAGTAATCAATGGAGGTTACTTTTTTATTAATAGCGTAGAGTGATATGTGGCTCTCCGTATGAGAGCAGCCGATTCGCAATTGATAAATTCTGGTTTCGATCTCGATTTTACGATACGATTTGACTTTTGACTGAATATTTAATTAAAGAAATAAAAGCAAAATTTCCAGAATGTTTTGGTTCGGTTATGGTTACCACTTGTTTTTCTTGCACTTCACAAAGTTCGCCGTCGCGTATTTCGCGTGACGGTTGATCGTCTGTATAACGGAAAAGCTAGATGTTAGGACGAACGAGCCATTCTCCTTGCTTGCCAACCAAATAAACGAATGCACGCTGGCGAGCGTCACGCTCGTAATTCTGTAACTCGATCCTTTGCGAGGAGGATAATAAAAGGCGAAATAGTTATTCGCGACGAGAGTCTTCCGTTGTTTTAAGACGCGATGTCTAGAAAACCGTGAAAAGCGAGAAAGTCGGGGGAACATCGGAGGCATCAAGTAAGATCGGAGAGTGTCGCAGATAAGACTGGAGAATGGCTTCCTCAATTTCCCATCGCGACGGGTAAAAAAAAGATGCGGAGATTACTCATTTGATTACAGTGTCTATCCATGTTTCGAGATCAATTACATAACGAATTATGACACAAAACGCTCCGCTTTCTCGTTACGTATTCAATTTTTATCCGACGAGAATAAATTTTGATCTCGCGGAGGGATAGCCGTCTCCGCGCGGAGAATCACGTTCCTTTTATAGCCCGATCGAACTGCAACGTTTTTGTGTACGCTCTTAAATAAAAAAGGAGATATGCAGCGCGTTTTACGCTTCACGATCGTGTCAGCTGTCACTCGCGCGATCGTATTCGAAGTTTCTCCTTCATTGTCAGTCATCGTTTGAGATAAAAAAAGGGAAGATTCATGATAGTAGATCGTAGTTAATAGCAGCGGCGTAACTAGGTGAACGTTCCTTCCTTTCCTCCCCCCTTTCTCTCTCTCTGTCTCTCTTTCTCCGTTCCCTGCTCACGTCTTTGATTAATAGTTATCTCTCGTGTCGCGGACGTGCATTAGAAGTTAAGCGGGAACAAAAGTGCGGCGAACGAGCGCTCGCAAGCAGGAGCAGCAACGGCAGGAGTAGCAGCAGCAGCAGCAGCAGCAGCAGCGACAGCGTCTCTGCCGCGGCGATATAATTTGCGCAAATGTAGGAAGTAATATCGCGGGGACAACAAGAGTCTCGCGACGCGCTCTTTGCAAAATGCGCCTGGCTGAGCGCGCGAGCACGAGAGCGATGCGAGAGCTACACCGAGAGCGGGACAAAGGGACGCCGCTTTGTTTCGCCGTCCCTTTCTTCTCTCTTTCCTTTCTCTCGCTCTCCTCTCCGCGCGGCCCTATCCACCTCCCGGCCGACCCGTTCCTCGCCGCCGCCTTCCTTCCCGCGCCCTTTCGTGCCGGTTCGCCGTGTCGTTTCGTGCTCCAGATTCCGCGGATTCTACGCGCCTCGCCCTCTCGTATAAGAGGGAGAGCAAGAGAGAGAAAGAAAGAGAGAGATATCACCCGCGCTGGATTTTATATCAAAAATCTCGCCGTTTATTGCTTTATTGCCTCTTTCGCGTAAAAGGAGGGCAGAAATACAACGTTTTCGGCTCGTAAAATTACGCGCTTGCGGTTTATGATCATTACACGCTACATGAAACTGAAACATTTGTACATTTCTGTTGATACGCAAATTATGCAAACGTACATAACATATTATGTAGGAACGATTTATTTATGCTCTTGAGAAAAATAAGTGAAAACGGCACTCGATATTCTCGAGGTACGCGGAATCTTTCTTGAGTTATAGAGTGAGAATTGCTCATAAATTCGGAGCGAAACGCACAGTGCAGTGATGAATTTTTTTAATGGTCAATAGAACGAACGATTTATTGGTTGCAAGATTGGTTTTGTGAATGCTTGTTGTAACGGAAAAATATTGAAGGAGGAATATTCGGGAAGAGAAAGAATTAACTGAAAAAAATTACTCGAATACGACGTGGCCCCCGAATATTGTTTGGAGGGACTCTGCATTCGCGTGGCGATTGAAGAATTACGTTGTAATTGGCCGAATAAAAAATTGGGATTGCCGCATGAAAATGATCTGCCCGTCGGTCGGTCGGTCGTGAGCTTTTTCCGCGTATCGGGGGACGGAAAAAAATTTGTCGATGACAATCGCTAATCAAATCGTTCGGCGACTAATTGTTCGCCGAATGGCTCGTCCGAATTGGTACGAGGAGTGAAAATTGAAAATGTTCGCCGGAGGCTTCGTTGAGCTTTGAAAGAGAGGAAAAGAGTCGGGGCTAGACGGAACCATTTCGCAGCCAACAAATTGCGCAGTCGTCACAGAAATAAAAATAAAAGCAAACGTAAGGACGATCCTTTTGTAAAAAGTTACGCAAAATTTAATAAGATTAATTTAATAAAGGGACAGACTATTTGTGGAGGCAGACTGTGTGCGCGCTTCGACGATCGATGCGATTAGAAATATCTCTTTTTAATGAGAACAACTCGGCGCGTTTCGGAGGTTTACTTTCTAATTAGATTTCTCGTTTCTGCTATTCTGCACGTTGATTAACCGTATAGTTAGAACGTAAACGCGATATATATAGTATATTGAAACGCGCGTATTTAATCTTGTCTCGCGCAGAATTTAAGAGGAGAAACGTTATAAAAAGTACATTCTCATTTTCGTATCAACCTTTCGCGATTTATGTAACAAGCTCGCCAACGCTGAAAACCCTTTAAAATCCCTCCCACGGCCGGTCTTTCTCGGCGCGTTTTACTTCCTCTCTCGGAATAATGGAAACGCTCCAAAGTTTTTACGGCCGCGCGCCTCGCCCCTTCCTTGTTGCGCCGCACGAAAACGCACACCGAAATTCTTCTTCCCTCTTTACGGCACCGGGATCATAACTCCCGGGTCCTCCGCGCGTGCACCGGCAACAAAGTGTGGAAAAGACATTGGGGCCGATTTTAAAGTGTTTTCAGAACTACCGTAAAATACTGACTCGCTGCCGCGGGTATTAAGCGCGTATCGCTATTTAATTTTGTTCGTTAACTTCGCCGGAGTGCAGCGATGATATTTATGCACGGCGCGTTTGTCACTCGCAGGTATAAT